GATCATGTGATATCGTTATTCTTTGTAAATATGTGTGTGTATGTATGTATACACGAAGACACGTTTATATATACATGTTGTATGTAAATGTGTAAATATACATAATACATCCATCTCTGCATAGTTAAAGTGAGCAACTAGGAGTATCAACTAGCAGGAAAACAAATAAAAGCAATCTTATCTTTACAACTAGACTACTAGAGCACGAGAAAAATACGTAACAGATAGACTCTACATAGTTGCTTCTAGAATAATAATTAGAAAAAAAAAACAAAAAAAACAAAAAAAGAGAGACTAGACTATTTTGTTGCTTACAAAATAGCAAGCCAATTGGTTTAGAATAAATTTTGTTTGACTTTTATAAATGTTGGTTTGTGCGTACCATGTCGGCAGAAGGCAGCCAAATTAATTCCACAAAATATGTTTATTCAAAACTAATAACGGCGGAGATTATATCATATCATACAGTATATGTTTCAATGTTTGTGTAATAGTATAATTTATACTTGAAGATCTTAAAATATCACACAACTCCAAAAATATATACACTGTTATTTAAGCATGCGATGACGTGAATATAAAGATATTATACTTAATACATTTTTCTTTCAGTGTGTTCATTTTAATTTTTAACTATTGCGTTTCAATTTGACATATGATATTTATTTATCGCTGGCAAATAGATACAAACATACGATTCCACTCGAGAAAGGGAAACAAAATTGTCACTAAAGTATTAATTAAACAAATGGCAAGTTGGTAAAGAAAAGAGCCAGCCAAAGATAAAGACAAAAGCCAATGGGTTTAAGTAATGTGGCATTCAGGTTGGATCAGGAGTCCACGTGAAACCCACGTCAAGTGACCAATGGTTACGATATTCTCGATAGTGTTCCTTTTAGGCTTTAGTACTGGTCAATCAAAGCAGTCTCTCATTTTTTTATTTCACATGTGTATTTTTAGTGTTTGTTAATTACTCACCACCGTTCTATAGTTATCAATACTATTACCTACTATTCTATGATTCTAACTTAGGACAGCTTAAAATCAATGGCGTATTGAAAGTAACTTAAAAAAGCTGGCCAAAAATATAATAATAACTTAAAGCTTGACAAATTGTCGTCATTTTAAAGGGTCTTCTTGTCCTATCTGGCTTTGTTTATCTTCTTCTTGTTATTTACTGTACCAAAAGTTTAACGTAATTCTACGAATATATCATATGATAACATCTCTCATCAACCCGGGGCTGTATAAATATTTATTAGGCTTTGTTGATAATTCGAAAAATTAAAAGAATCACATGAATTAGGTTTGCAATGATGATTTTTTTTTTTAAAAAGGGTTTCCAGTGAGCTGATTAGGATAAATCGCACGCTTAATGTCACGTTTATTTTCAGGAGGGAGCCACACATTAATTAATTCAAGGGCCCTTGATTTAATACTACGTAATTAGTTTTGGTAAGGTGGCCTAAGTTAGGCCATGATTTTTAATTACCAGTTCACTGGATTTATGTTAATTAGTAATTAGGCCAACATGATTATCTATCGCCAACACAAAATACTATTATAGTGTTATTAGGACATGTACATAAATCTGTCGGTTTATATATAGTAGACGAGTCCACCAAAATTGTGCGATGGATCGAAGATAAGAATCCAAAATGAACGGCTGAGATGAAAGTGGAATATTACTTAGAATAGGATGAAGTTTGGGTCCAGACAGAAGAAACGAAGAGGATGGTGCTGACCTTTTCGTCTAAAAACATCTCACTCTTGCATTCCACTTGCATTGCATGGCCCAGTTCTTCGTTATGTCGTTTCTAATTATACCAAACCTATTTCAACTAATGTATATTGTGGCAATCTTGCATGTCAATTTACATGAAAATTCAACCCCCATGAGTTTATCTTACAAATTGTTTTCTACAAAGAATTGTATAACTTTTGATAATAATTAATTGAGGCTGTCCAACATTATATTGTTAGGCAAACGCAAAATGTTGTTTTCTGTTTGCATTTTTGTGAAGAAAATAAACATAAAAACGATTAATATATGTTTAGGAAAATAAGGAAAAGGCAGGAACGAGAAGCCTAGACTATCTATAGGAATATAAGAAGGTTAGTGATGTGGATGATAACCAATTACATGCATCCTGTAACGAGACGTGTGATATATAGATATTCTTAAAGTAAACTTTGGCCCGGTTGTACACATAAAGTTTAATTTTCTTTTTTCCTTTTTCAGTATGGAGATACACTCGCATTTGTAAACGTAAGTAAAATGATAAACAATTTCTTCTTTTAAAAAGTAGATATCCGCTATTCGTAAACATGTGAAAAACAATATCTTGATTTACAAATTATACATTTATTGATGGTAAACCATAAACTATATATGGACGGATTAATACATTTATTGATGGTAAACCATAGAAATATATATGAACGGATTTTCAGTTTCAACTAATATGGAACGGGTTGAACATGATTGAGCCGTGAGTCCGTGACCGGTGACCCACTATCACTAATCAAATGGTTCAATGTCTAGCTCATTTTTGACTCTTTAAGATCATTGCTTCAACAGAAGACATCATAATTTGTTTGACATATCTTCTTTACAAATGGATAAGTATTGCTTTTATTTTTCCAAACGAAACGGATAAACATTTGAAGGAAGGTAGGACCAATAAAAGAGAGAAATTAGGTACTCTTGCTCCGTACAAGAATATGGCCTTGAGCAATACGATGGATTCATCTCCCCCTTCACATACAATCATCATCTCATGATCTTGTCCCCATTCTTAATATCTTATATATTTAATTAGTACATTCATATAATTGAGCAATAATTGTGTTGAACTCATTGGTTACGTAGCCTATGAAAAATGACCAAAACAACAAAAGTTGACGTTTTTAAATTCTGCATTCAAACCAACTATGTAATTTTTGATCTCTGATGGCGTGGAATATAAGATTATAGTAAGGAAGAGAAACAAAAACTATTTAAAAAACTCAAAGGAAACAGAGGAAAGTTCGATGGTTTAGAAGATATCTGGTTTGTTTAGTTCAACCAATAAGGCACAGTCCCAATCAACGTTCGATTGTATGCTTGTGGACAGTGGCGGAGCTAGCCCTTGGGGACGTGGGTCAGTTGACCCATGTCAAATGTTGATAAAAAAAGTTTTACATGTATTTTAACTAAAAAATCTGATGAAATGTTGCAATATTAGATATTTGACTCATGTAATATATGATTTGACCCTATGAATTTTGTTTCTAGCTCCGCCACTGCTTGTGGATAGTTAATTACAGTAGAACCTCTATAAAGTAATACTCGATAAAGTAATACCTCGATAAATGAATAGAATTTTTGAGTCCCGAATTAAGTTTTTGGTCTAATTATCTCTCAATAAATTAATAATCTCGTTAAAGTAATAAAATATCAAGGTCCCAACGTTATTACTTTATAGAGGTTTTACTGTATGTTAATCGCTTCTTGGATGGTACATTTTCATTGATAAGAAACACCAGACATAATAATGTTAAAATGTTAACCGATGATGTAATATAAATATTTGGTTGAATCAGATTTGATTTTAGGATGGATAAGGTATTTGGTTTTCCATGTATATTAGATCAAATTCATGCATGCTCTGATATCATGTTAAAATTTCATAGACTTAAGATTTAAAATATGAACTCTCATCTTCTTTCCATTGTGAGATTCACAAAGAAAGAAACAAATATGTTTGATTACTTGTGTCCAAACTGAAGGAAACATAACTGCAAAAGTATAAAGTTAGTGGAATTACTAAGAAACTGCTAGCCAGAGGGAAGACAATGGTAAGGAAAAGCCAATTAAGATTCTACGTACAAAGAAGTGCTTAGAGGATATAAAAAAGGGAAACCAAGCCAGCTATGGACTTGTTGGAAGAAACATAGGAGAAACCAATGATCATGACTCTCCAACAAAAGCAAACATTTGCACAATGTATGTAAAGAGACACGTCGCATACCAAATATAGAAGGGAGAATAAAGTTCCCAAAAAAAGATTCAAAGGGGGATGCACACACAATTTAGAACAGATAATACCAAACAAAAAAAATAGTGGGCAATGTCCAAATGTCATGTGAACCCCCTTCCCACTTGTCCCCCCTACTCTATCCCCATATTTTGCATACACATTGCCCATTCTTCATTTCTTCTATCTCTCTATTAACCCCTAGTCAACTCTTAACAATAACTTACACATACATTTTCATTTTACTATGGACCATTCGGTTTGTTGGATTTGTGTGTGTACCTGGTTTTGAATAAACAAATGGCTCTTTTTATATTTAGAATTTTTAACGTCAAATATGGTTTTTCTTGGTTATATTTTTCCATGCTCAATGCATCAAGAATCTTATAATTGCTTGTGTTATTCTTTGTCTTTTAGCGAAATGTTCGGAAACAGATTCTTTTATTTTCCAATGTACGTACATGTTATCAAATACATTTGATATAGACGCATCATTCAATAACAATAAATAAAATATTAACGTATAAAGGACTAATTACGCCAACAACAAAAGAAAGGACTAATTAAAGGTACCAAAATTGGTACGATTGTAAAATAAAATAAAATAAAAAAACCGAATAAAAACACCAGTACCCATATTTTTGGACTGACCCCTCTTCTCTCTTCCCATGAAACTTCCTCTAACTATCATTTTGCCATACTTGCAAGTCTTGACCCCACTCTTCTAACATCTTTTCAAATTATTTTAAAGTTTTATTTTCACTCTTTATTCTTTATACATTACCCACATTTTACATTTATCTCTCTAGCTATTATAATATCCTATAATATTTTCACAAAACAAAACAAATAATATATCAAGGGAACGTACATGCACTTCCCCTCTGTATATATATATACTCCAACACATCTCTTCATAAAGCAACACACAATTTCTAATTTCTTTTTCTCTCTCACAAACTCATTTTCGGTTCAAACAAAATGGATTACAGCTGTGCAGACGACAGTAGTACAACTTCCGAGTCTCTCTCCATCTCGACTCCGTCGGCGGCGAAGAAGACAACAACGGTGGATAAACTCTCTCCTCCGCCGGCTTTGCGTCTCTACAGAATGGGAAGCGGCGGAAGCAGCGTCGTCCTTGATTTGGATAACGGCGGCGTCGAGACCGAGTCACGGAAACTTCCGTCGTCCAAGTTCAAAGGCGTCGTGCCTCAGCCTAACGGAAGATGGGGAGCTCAGATTTACGAGAAGCATCAGCGCGTGTGGCTCGGCACTTTCAACGAGGAGGAAGAAGCCGCTTCTTCCTATGACATCGCCGCTCGGAGATTCCGCGGACGCGACGCCGTCACTAACTTCAAATCCACCGCGGTTGAAAACGACGCCGAATCGGCTTTTCTGGACGCTCATTCCAAGTCTGAGATCGTCGATATGTTGAGGAAGCACACTTACGCCGACGAGCTTCAACAGAGCAAACGGAAATTTCTTAACGGTAACGAGAGAGGATGTGGATCGGCGGCGATGACGATGTCTCATCACTCGCACGGAAATGACGGCGTTTTAAGAGCGACGCGTGAGGTTTTGTTCGAGAAGGCCGTTACGCCGAGCGACGTCGGGAAGCTGAACCGGTTAGTGATACCGAAACAGCACGCGGAGAAGCACTTTCCGTTACCGGCGATGACGACGACGGCGATGACTCCGTCTCCGACGAAAGGCGTTTTGATAAACCTGGAAGACAGAACGGGGAAAGTGTGGCGGTTCCGTTACTCGTACTGGAACAGCAGTCAAAGTTACGTGTTGACCAAGGGCTGGAGCCGGTTCGTTAAAGAGAAGAATCTCCGAGCCGGCGATGTGGTTTGTTTCGAGAGATCTACCGGACCAGACCGGCAATTGTATATTGACTGGAAAGTCCGGTCCGGTGCGGAACAAACCCCGGTTCAGACTGTGGTTAGGCTTTTCGGGGTCAATATTTTCAATGCTAAACCAAACGACGTCGCAGTAGAGTGCGGTGGCAAGAAGAGATCTCGGGAAGTCGATCTGTTTGCGTTAGGGTGTTCCAAGAAGCAGGCGATTATCAATGTCTTGTGACAATTTTTCTTTTTCCTTTTTTTAAATTTGTTTCTCCTTTCCATAAATTTCTATTAAATTGGCAAGTTGTAAATTAGGACAAGACAAGATAAATGATGACTAGGAAATAGTTTTTTGCTCACATCTAATTTGGGTTTTTTTTTTTCACCCTTGCTGAATATGATATTTGTTTTCTTACCTCATCTCATCTTTTATTTTGAATTTATTCCTTACTACAAATTTTCCGATTATAGTTTATGTGTTGTGTATATAATAATCCCACTAGTTTTTAGGCGTTTAGTACTTGCTTATATTGGAGAAATATCTTATAAGATCAAATGGAATAGTTTTATATGTCAACATGTCTAATTAAAAAAAACGTGGGTGGGATAGGAAAAATATATTTATGTGGTTGAGATGCTTAAACAAAGAACAACAACGTCGATTGTTAAAAGATTATGTACGTTTCTAAAACTGTTTTCGTGTACGATCTGTTGAAAACACTGACCAAAATAATTAAGAACATGCACGGAATCTAAACTACGATTTTTAGAACCAATGCTATAATTAAACATCTCGAAATATGATTATTTGTCTTGTCTCTTATGTCTTAAGATTCATGCATCTTATATATTTCACAAAGCTTAGTTGTTTTAAAAATAACGGAATCAATAAGATCTTAAAGGCTACACATAATGTATGTGGACACGGATTCATAGCAGAACTGATATTGCACCACACATAGCTTGTTTTGTTTTTCTGATAACAATAATTATAATTTCTCAACCTTGTATGGGACAATGTCAAGATATTTATTAGTGCTGAAATTTCTTGGGATGAAAATGAAAAACACGTAACTGTGTTCTGGAAAGAAAACGAACTTTCAAATTTATGTGTTACCGATCTATGAATTGTTTTTGTTAACATATATATATTTATAGCTAAAACCTTGAATAATTTTGATAAGATTATTTGTTTTTAATCCTCTTTACAATTTACAAGCTAAAAAGCTTATGAAATTCCTGATAAGAATAAATTTTCACAAACTGGCGTAAACCCAAAACGTAAATAGTCGATGTCGGAACTCGGAAATTAGTTTACTGAATATTGCTCTCATGAGTTTGAAGCCCATAACGGACAAAGCCCGCCCAATCCCATTCGTAGAAGTCAAAAGTTTCTTCTTCTTTGTCAAGTGACTTGTGTATGGCTTGTCACCCAAGGTAACCTACAAGTAGGTGGAAGTCCAAATATATATAAAGTTGTGAGATATAGATCAATGAATCCAATCCAAAAGAAACACATGTATGTTTCCAACCCCTGTTTTAGTTTGACTGGCAAGATTTAGGACTATTGCAATTTAACAGGTTGAAGAAGCCAGAGGAAATGCGTTATAATACTGTTTTGATGCACACCAAGAATAGAGATATGTCTCTCATCTTCATTGGGTTCCAACACCGAGGTTACATCCACTTTAGTAAGAACCAAATCGACACAATAATTCAACCATATTTCAGATATCAGCTAAAGATTTCTTCTTGATCTCAACTAACATAGGCAGACTGAAGTCTATAATCAAAGAGAAGAAGACAAAAGTCTACAGGGTTTCGACAAACATGGAAACATTCAGTTCAAAATCAAATGAAGACGATGGTCACTAGACGAAAAAAAATGGTTACCTAGAGCTTGAAGGCGTTGCTAACACTCTCTCTACGACTCTACAATCACACTTGACACTACACTTTCCGCCAAAAAGGACTTGAAGTAAACCGCTTACCAAACGATTCAAATAATGTCTTTCTAATTTTTGTTGCCAACTAATATTGTCTAAATAATGTTTGAGATTCACTATTATGAATCTATCTTAATAATTTCGTACAATATCTTTGCAGTTTTTTTTGGTACGAGATATATTCTACCAATAAATCAAAGCAAAGGAACATAAACCCATAATGTTATAGACTCCTTAGCCTATGATAAAAATTGTACAACTAAATGTAAATAAAACTGTAACCCCAAGCCAAATATTCTGCTGTCTAAGCAAGTTTTAAGAGCATATGCTTCAGTCCAGCGCGTTAACGTAATTTATATAATGCATTGACTCGCCCAAGTGATTAGTCATTAGCATAAGATACTCAAACAATATCTGTTATTGAATCAATGGAAGTGGTTGCTATTAATTTATTAATGGAAATGCCGACAATCTTGTGTACCCCCCGTGATCAAGCAACAACCCAAGAAAAGAAAATTCAACTTATAATCTGAAAAAATATCTGATATCTTCATAGATAAATGGATAAGTACTTCGATGGAATGATGGATAGTTGTATTTGAGGTAATGGGAGGGGCCACTTGGCCTTTAGGTGAAGGCAAAGGCCAAGATTTGTTTAATTCAACCTCTTGTTAGAGGGGTGTTTAATGCAACTTCAATATATATTTGATTTACCTCCTGATTACATGGATCATTGTCTTTGTTAATCCACTTTACAGTTCGAAAGAAACAAACTGAAGTTAAGAATTTCAAAAATATTATTTGAAAAAAAATTATACGTTAACATTTGTCAATTTATAATGATTCGTTTTTAAAGGATGAGATGCAATAGCTTTAAACAAAGAAAAAACACTTAAAATGGTAGAGGATATTTCAACTAAAAATTGGCAGAGAATATACTTTGAACAGCATTGTGAAAGCTAGTGTTTGGTAAGGAATATCAATTGCAAGAAAAATGCCAAAGAAAAAATATATGCTTTCTTTTTGATATCCCAGCAAGAATATTCGGCCACCGGGACCACACACGCCTCTAAATGAAAACAAACGAAGAATGGAATTGTAGAAAATTCTTGCATACGACCCTAAGATTATTTGAATCCAGCTTATATTAATTTCATTTGATTAATGTGGTCATTAAGAATCTAGGTAGGCCATGTTATGATTTTTGTTTAAATAATCACCGCCTTGAAAAAATGTTTATGCTTTCTTTCGTAAATGGTCGTCGGTCCATTTTGTCCATGAACACATGAATTCTCAGCTACGTTTTTCTCAGCTACGTGGAGCACTATGAAAACACGTTACTAAAAAAATTAATTACCAAATCAGATGTTGATTTATACAAGTAACAGTTACAATTGCCGAATCATTTTTAATATCTAGCCATATTAAGACATTGTCTGGAATATTACTCATCCAAAATCAATATATGATTATAAATACTTAAAAGATCAAAATTTTATTTTATTGTTTTCTTGTGTATTCTACAGTCTATTCAAAATTTTAAACCTCGAAGGTGTGGGGTATGTGTAGAGGAGTTCGGCGATTTGCAGCGCCGGCCACTTCTCTCTCCTGACGGTTGTGCCGCCACAGGAGCGTAAACTCTGTTGTTCGATGCATCTTGCGACGGTAACCAAATGCCTTCCACCACCATGAATTGCGGCTGTTGTGGATTTTCGACGCCGGTGACAGCAGCCGGAGTAGCTGGTCTTCTTGTGTGCAGTCTATATTTCTGAAAATTCAATGGATTCCATAAAGTTTAGAAAATCTTATCTCAATTAGCAGCTATAGAACCATGATTAGTGAGAACTGAGGTTGAAAATGTTCGTATCATATATGAAATTGAGATTGGACAAACAGTTCAGAAGCAAAATGATAATTTATGTACCTGTAAATGGCTTTTAACTTCGTCGTTAGTGAGACCATCGACCTTCATGAGATCTCTAATCTGCTTAGGCGTAGCAGCTGCAAATTTGATAAACAAAAAAGAAAATGAAAATCCATTTGTAACCAATTCGGTTCGAACAAGCGACGGTTTGATCTTTTAAACTTACCATGCGATCCACCAAGCTGCTGAAGCGCGTGAAGGAATCGCCGGTGCAGCTCCGGCGACCAGCAACGTCTTTGCTTTCTAAGCATTTGCGAATGTTTATGCTGCTCCGACTCTCTTTGGGTTTCCGCCGTGGAATTCGACGTCGTTGGCGTCGGCGTCGGAGTGATTGCATTTAGCGGTTGAGAATCATCCTTGGCCGCCGCAGCAACCACGGACTTCTCCTTAAGAAACGGCTGAAACGCACCGCCGTTTCGTTTGACCTCCACAATCGTCGTCTGGTCCTATTCGATCCAATAACGTAAACAAATCAGATTCAATGCATTTTCCGATTCGAATTCTCTCGATTTAATTAATTCATACCTGTTCGTCCTGAGGATCCGGCGACTGGTTCCATAACTGAACAGATCTAAGCCAATCCGATTTCTTCTTATCACCACCGTTGCTTTCACTCGCGATTTTCTCAGCTCCGTCGTCTTTAACAGTTTCACAAGACTCGTGTTCATCGGAGGAAGACGAAGTCCACTTCATCGGGATAAACTCCTCAAACACGGCAGCGCCGCCGCCGCCGCACTCGCTCGTCGTCCTCTCAGAACACTCCGATTGGCCGTGAACATGCTCCGACGTCGACGATCCCGATAACTCCTTCCGGCACGACTCTATCGCTAAAGGAATTAAAGAAAACGAATAAGAAACTGGAAATCGAGAGAGAAGATCAAAAAGTGTATGTGATAAATTACCTTTTGTAACGAGCTCGAAACACAAGGGGAGCTCACGTTGGAAGACCTGGATCTTCTTCTGCTCTTCTTCAAGCGCTTCAACGTACTCGTGACATCTCTGCATTCTCTCCGTATGACTGTTGAAGTTCTTAGTCATCATCGTAGACAGATCTGAAGAAACAACTTGGACTGGTTTGACGATTCGGATTACAGACCATAAATCTAGTCTTAGAGAGGAAGGAAGGAGGAGGAAGAGCTTGGAAGAGAGAGATAAAGAAGAATACTAATAAACTTGAGGCTCAAGTTGGGAAGTTTTAAGGAGAGAGAGACGAAGACATTAGGGATCCGAGGTCGGGCCGTCGCGTACCGAATCTTTCATGTCTTTAAAAAAAGTGATTTTCTTTCTCGGATTTACTACGATTCCTTCCTAAAATGAAAAGGGGTAAAATGGTAAATATATGGAGATGTTTGGGGTTTGTTCATACGGAAGAATATTCGATGGTCATGGTCATCGCATCTGATATGGCAACGACGTAATCATTCTCGTGATGTTTTGAGATAAGAACGACGACTCATTTAATTCATTACTCAATTCAGATAATATATCAGAATATACTACTACTGGTCCTTCCGTAATTTTTCTCCCTTATAGTAAAAAAAAAAAACATATGAATTCTCTTTTCATATAAAAGTTTGAAGTCATAGGGAGAGAAAAAAATAAAGATTTTTTTACAAAATTAAAGCTAATTTATATCGTACAAAATTAAAGCTAATTTATAGCTGGTGGAGGAATATTCCTTGGGGATGGATAATAGTAGGGAGGAAGAAAGCAACAAGAATCTTTTGGAAGAGTGACATTCACACATTTCTAAGCCTTTTGAGTTGTTATGGTGTCTCTTGACATTACCGAAGAGCCACCTACCTGCAACAACACTCTTATCATCACGCGCTTCATTGCGTTCGCGTGTGTTCAACTGATTTCCCCGTGATTCCCTGACACAACTAGATATTATTAGTGCAGGTAGGTAGATTGGTCTGAAACTCTGGGACATGGGCCGCTTGGCCCTATCTCTGGAAAACAAAAAAAAACATCTGGATTTTATATAAATGTCGATCTAGTCATTTGGGTGATAAACTTGGGCATGGGTCGTCAAGATGTGCTCAAATTGCATGTATTTTTTATTGATGTTTATATTAGTGGCCTGCGATTGTTGAGACTTTAGAAACCGGAACTAGTGAAAGTAGATGTTGAACAAAAAAAAAGAGTGGAGGGAAGAGAACAAGAAGATGGAAAACTATGCAAACTAATTTTTGTTTTTTAGGAATCCTGAAAGCGTGTCCCCGAGTCTAAGAATGTAGAAAAGCAAGCTGGATATATCAGAGCTATTGAACTGTCAAAGAAATAAATTTGCCTCAATCCCACATGGTATAGAGACAATCTAAGACCTTTTGCAGGTAGCTTAACATGAAGTTGATTCTAGCTAGGCTTGTTTTTATATACAGTATATATATTTTAAACAGTTGTCATGTGTCAACAACGAGATTTCCTGATCGGGATTCTATTGGGAGAAGACCATACACAATGATCCACTCGAGAGTGTACTTTATATATCAGTTTCTAAAGACTTTTGTACAAGACAAGAAGAGCTTTTTTTACAAGGAAAAACCACAAAAGGTTAAAGAGAAAATCCCTCTCGACAAATCTATAATTATTTTCTCAAGTTCATTCCTCCTTCTTCGGTATGGTATTTCTATTTACAATGCACTTACAATTTACAAGATGACAAACCTCTAGCATTCGCCACTCGCTCGGTGATTGGTATAGATGGAGATAAAAAGCAATAGCCATGGCAATGATTGAGGTCTAGCTAGCAATGTTTTTTACTGCATGTATATTAGGCATTTTTAGATCACAAGACGATTTATTTGAAACAAATTGGATCTCAACATTCAGTAGTAAGCCCACTAACTTCTTCTTAATTGAATGGGGGATGTTATGTATATGTAGTATTTGATAAATATATATGACACACGGTGTTTTCTGATCGATGTATGCAATCAGTGAATCAGATAAAATTAAAAAGAAGCTTCTTCAATTGACGATTTCGTAGGTGGTATAATATAATTTTCATAAAAGATTTTTGAGTTGTGATATAGTCAAATGTGTTGCATAATCACTAGTATCTCAATTATGTCTATATAAACCAAGGGGACTTCGTTGCACTTTCGTACAAGACCAAATGTGTATACGCATATATAATCTCCAACAGAACTTAGTTACACATCTGTAGTTCATCTGTTCATGTACATTGATCAAATACGTACGTGCTTTTGAAGTTGTCACCGAAGATGATAAGAAATTAATAGCATAAAAATAATATCAGGCCGACTGTACGTAATATATATCGGAAAGAGGAGCAAACCGGATCGTTCTTAATTCAATTCGTAGCTTAAATATTATTATATACTATAGAAAACAAACAAAATTTTGAATGTAAATTTTATTTAAGACTTCAGCGTTCCCATGTTCGTAATCGAACTAAACAAATAAAATAAGTGTTTGGTTTGTGTGAAACAAACCTAATTTCGTGGAACATTCACAAAAAGCGTAGTTACTATTCAAATAGTAGCATTAATTTTGTGGACAAAGTATGAAACTAACATACGCAAAAATTAAATTACAAAACATAAAAGCAAACAATAAGTTGTCAAAAAGATACAGTATTTTATATTTGAAAAAAAACAAGAACTTTTGGTCACCTGTGTAAGCAAAGAGATTCTAACGGACCTAACCTAGTAAGCAAAAGCAAGGAGATCAAATTATTCGTAACATGATATTTGAAAGATGAGAGACATAACATAATCTAAACTACATTCTTAACAAACGCTTCTTCCAGGAAATCAGGTACAAACACGTTCTCCATGAACACACTACACATATACAGATCCATTTTCTAGGGAAAATCAACTATGCTCTAATAGAGTATCTCATTGAACCAGTTCCTGTTCCCCTCTTTTTTTTCACTCCAAGATTATAGTTACGAGTAGATCAATCTCTTATAAGTCTTGTAATTAACAGGAAAGAGTTGTGAAGAAAACCAATGACATGAAACATTTTTAAAAGTCTCAACTAATAGGGCCTCCCTCCTAAACCATGTTTTATACTTTTTTTTCTTCCTGAAAATGCGATTTAAAAATCATTTAACCAATCATTAAAATATTTTTTGTCTCACGGAATTATCTATTTTTTTTAAAAAAAATTTGGGTTTGAGAAACAAGACTGAGATAGAAAAGAAAGAAAATTTTTGAAAAAAAGGAAAAGAGATAATGAGTTTTAAAAACAAATTTCAGTGGCTTTAATGAAATAATAAAAATCTTCTTTTACCAAAAATAAAAGATAAAAAACTTTAACCTTAATGTAGTTTGGAATCAAAATTCCTCGAAGGTAACGAATTTGATTGATAACCACATTAACTATTCAAAGATACGTAAGAAACGAAACAACAATTTTGGTTGATTTTTTTGGTAGAAAACAATTTTGGTTGATTATACACTAGCAAATGAGATTTGCTTTATTTATTTCTATACAAATAAATAACAAGGCACACGAGAAAAGAAAGAGAAAAAACGGACCAAAATCCCAACGACAAAGTCTTTTTTTATTTATTTTGTTGCGCAAATATTTCAATTTAGAAGATTGGAGTGGCCGAACCAAAATTTGTCATTCTATTTCTCCTGCCGGAGAAGAAGGAAACTTATAAGAACGAGCAAAGATAAACTTTTTCCGTCCGCGAATCGTTAGGCCTAAGAACATCACCAATTCCAGGCGAGAAACTTTTGATTCGCGTCACAGCTCTCTAAGTTGGAACAAATTTCCGATTATGTCGTCGGAGGTGAAACAGCTGATCGTCGTAGCTGAAGGTACCGCCGCTTTGGGACCTTATTGGCAAACCATCGTCTCCGACTATCTCGAGAAAATCATCAGGTTCTTTTAACCCTTCTAATCTCCTCTTCCTCGATTCTGAATTTCCCCTTTTTCCTTCCGAGTTAGGGTTTCTGATGTTTGGATAGGCCTTGATTTTCAATCGGTAGATCGAACTTTGTTTGTCCTCTGGTCCGAAATGGTGCGAAAAGGTTATAAATAGGTTCTGTCTTTTTCATCGTGCCTGAGTTATTACCGTGTCTGTCTGTGTATGATAATGTTCTTTGAGAAATTCCTTGTACTAACTAGTAACTACTTGCTTCTGTATTTGATATGGAGCAATCACTTAGCCTAAGTTTTGGCTCCTACATTCGTTTTGATTCTGTGTGAGATTTTGTTTTTCTTATTTTTAAAAGCATCCATAAAGCAATGTATTAGGGTTATTATGATCCATGATCGCTTTATCCTTGTTGAAGATGAGTTATTCTGATCTCATGGACATTTGAGAAAACTCTCTTAGCCGTGAAGTTTCTGTTCGCCTTTGTATTCAGGCTATGGTAGTCAAGGAAAGTAATAATGATAATGTGGTTCAGAGGTTGGAAAAGTATAGTTTATGTGTTCATCTCTAGGAACAAGAACCATTTATATAATTGTATCTTTCTCCTTGTATATTGTTTAGAGTCACTTACTCATTCTATAGTATGTTTTTATCCTTGAATTTTGGTCAGTATGTTAGATTGATTTCCTGTTGTTAACTGAAATGTACCACAATCACAGCTAATTAGACACTTGAGCTTTTTAACCATATGATTACAGAGAATGTACTATGCAATACTACTGTTCCATACAATTTGTAACTAAACATGGCATCTAATTCTAATATCCACTAAGCAAACTCTGCCAGAAAGATTCTATATTATTTCATTTCAATAAGCTGGAGAATTGATGATGAATAAGTCAGCGGATCAGAGGGAAAAATCTGACTTCTCTATCCTTTACAGATTTTACATTTATCCTCTTCGCCTGGCTAAGAATACCTCATAGCACAGTCAATAAAAAAATTCACCCCTGGCACCGTTTCCTGATGATTGTTTGAGTAATAAACATGTCTTGTTGGACAACAGTTTGTGTGGCCATATACGAAGCAGCTTGTTTTCCTTGTTGAGAGGCATATAAAGATGAAAACCTTCTGAAACTTTGCACACCTTAATCAAACTTTCAGTTTAAACAGTTCTCTA